TTATCATAATTCTATGATTTTTATCATTTAATTAATTGATAAACCCAATAAATGAAAACTGACGATCGATAAACACATAAATAACGTATGTTCTTGCACAAGTATATACCTGTATAGTTGCTACACTTAATGTTACAATATGGTAAGCGGAAAGGAGGAGCAATGAAAATAATAGTATTATTGGATGAACAAATCTAAACAGGAAAAAAACTTTAAAATAAACCGATAAAATCAGACAATAAATAGTGCAGAATAACATTAAACTCAGAATTCATAAAATGAATAAACCATGTCGCTGAAAATTTTAGAAAGCATCTCGTTAGATACTGACTAGGAATTCCGGACTATGTGATACAGCTAAAATTTATGGGTCAGTTAACCCGCAGACTGATGAGTTATCTTGATCTAATTTACTCTTATTCCAACCTCATTTGCAAGTCACAATAGCTCATCCAGATAGGTTGTGGATAGATATGGGTAAATAATGGCTTAACCACTGCAGTTTATGGGGATTCACATCATCAACTTTATGGGTATAATAGGCTACAGTTACGACTATTTTTGTGAAGCAGTTTGGTAGATAACTATTTCAAGTTGAAGAGAATAAGAATAAAGCATTCAGTAGAGTAATACAAATTCGCTAGTCAATTGGCTTTGTATCGGTGTGTTACAATCTGAAGAATTCAAATATCACTTTACATGAATTTAGCATAATTTAACTATTTGTATGGCAGTAAGCTCGTAAATACTATAGACAAATACACACTAGGATTCAGATACATAAATTAGCTTAGTGGATACTCATTAACACGAAGCCCGAAGCTAAATCAAATTTATATCCAGTGTTTTGTGATTTACAATGCTTATTTTAGTTAATATCAGTCAATGATGAAAATTATTTGAAAGCAGTAAATAGCGCTAAAAATGAACAGAAATACATATTTAATTAATGTGTAAAAATAAGAATAAATCAACCTACTTAATTTTTTTAAATGATAAAGAAATCCTTTAGTTTTTGCTTTAAGTCTATCATCCATTAGAGTTTTATAATTTAAGTATTACTCAATAACGTGTACTAACAGAAGTATGTTCCAAGTGGATGAGAGTACTGAATATAACATATGCACTTAAAGTACAGTATACCATGTGTATCCAGCCAATAAATTAGTATGACGTATTAGTTTATATATATATATATATATATATATATATATATATATATATATATATATATATATATATTACAACTGCATACCTATTAGTAAGTCATTTGATAGATTTTTAAAATATTTGTGCATTTACTATGTCAACATTAGTACCATTATGCAAAGAGAGGTCGAGAAAAAACACATCTATGGATACGCGATTCATAAGATAGAAATATTCATTCAGTATAATCCAACTACCATTCAATAATTTATACTAAGAACAATTTAAAATTATTGTGAAAATCCTAATAACGAGATAATTAAGTTTTTGACAAAAAAAGACAATTTTATTTTACCAACTGGCTTCTCCACAGATGATAATATAATTTGGATATAAAACAATTAGTCTTTTTGATAAATTTCGATAATGCAATGAGAAGACGAAGTTTATTAGAATTATGTGATATATTAGCGCAATACATTGAAAACGAAAGAAGGGATCAGGAAAAAGCTGGAAAAATCTTTCTGTAACAATAATAATAATCTCACTTCCTTCCCAATTAATTCTGATATGTCACAAATTTATCCTCTATTGTATTGTCCGTTCATGAAAAGGAGGCACTTTCTCTGGGTTTCAACTTTTCTGTCCCTATTACACAAATTTCTGAATTGACAATCAACACCCAATTTGAAAACCTTTATGATCAATTGAGTACTTTAACCCCCTCATCCTCAGAGAATCAAAGTTGGTTTAAAGCTAAATTAGTGGACATAGCGCATCAATTTCACTCCTTCGGACAGAAGCAGAGAAGCATACTAACTTCTCAGCACTTCAAATCCTTAAAAGAATTGCGAAACAATGTCGATATTATTATACTAAAACCCGATAAAGGATCTGGTGTTATAATTATGAATAAGTCCGATTACATAAATAAAATGAAATTGATTTTCAGTGATAAGAGCAAATTCATGGCTGATGTTGACTCTGATGGACGACATAAATTAGAAAAGAAAGTAAACTCGAATCTAACAAAATTGTTAAACATGAACGCTATTAACAAGGATGAGTTTCATTTATTAAAACCTATGGGTTCGGTGTATCCTCATTTATATGGATCAATGGCTTACAAAAGTATTAAATCCTATCCGACATCAATTTTGTAAGTATTCCTTGATTGACTCATTTGATTTAATTAAATACTTAAAGGATATGAATATAAAAACAAAGACAATGTGTTCTTTTGATGTGAACACTTTATTTACAAATGTACCCCTGAGAAAAACTATTGATATTTTATGTGACTATATTTCACTTAATAATCTTCCATTGCCATTTCCTGTTGAAACTCTTAAAGATCTATTATTATTGTGCACTGACAATGTAAAATTAACATTTCAAGGTGAGCACTTTCGACAAATTGATGGCGTAGCTATGGGTAGTCCTTTAGGACCGTTGCTGGCGGATGTGTTCATGGGGTATGTTGAAAATTTAGCTGAAAACTCAATCCAAAAGATGTGTCTGTATAGACGATACGTTGATGATATCATAATCATAGGGGATAAATGTGAAGACGTGAACCGCTTGTTAAGAGAACTCAATACAAGTCAGAAGCATATTTCTCTTACGTGCGAAGAAGAGAAGAACAACCAACTTCCTTTTCTAGATATACTGATCAGTAGGAGAGAAGATGGTTCCATCCAACGTTCTATATATAGAAAGCCGACATGGACGGGACAATACCTTAATTTCCACAGTCACTGCCCAATTCATTACAAACGTGGTTTAATTAAGGGCTTATTCAATAGAATCAATCGTATTTGTACTAGTGATACTATTGAAGTAGAAACGAAGCGTCTAACTAATACGTTAATAAATAATGGTTATTCATTTAAGTTCATAAACCGCTGGAAGGGTTGCAATACGATTAGACCTATAACGCTTCTGGAACCCAAAAAGCAAGTTTATATTACATTACCATTTAGGAGTGACTCAAATAGTCTCATGTTGAGACGGAGACTAAAATTAACCATAAACAGGACATTCTATGCAGCTCAACTTGTCATCATTGAAAAGACAAGGTCGATGTTTCACCAAAAACCTAGCAGCACATAAGCGATTGTGTCACATCCCATTGTGTATACCAATTTACATGTATGTGCGGTAACACGTACATAGGGAGGAGCAATCGTGATTTGCAAATAAGGGTGGCGGAACACACACCTAAAGGATACAGAACCAAATGAATTCGAATGGTCAAATAAGATTACAGGATAGATAAACATCTTCCTCCATTGCGAAACATTTAGTTGAAACTGGTCATAAGGTTGACATCAAATCAGCGTTTGTAGTGTTGTACAAAAACCATCAAGGACGTATACTAAGGTTTATTGAAGCCTTGGCTATACGGAAATTGAAACCCCCTTTATGTGTTCAAAAACAATTTGGTCTTACCCTTAATCTACCCTGGTAATGCTTATTTATTATCCAGAGTAGTCATCACATTGTTTTTGTGTACTTTAATTTCTTACCTTAATCTGTCTAGTTGACCTTTTAATTTTCATACAAAAATGTCTTAACAAGTATATGTGTGATCAGATTGTTCGAAATGTATTGCGCTAATATATCACATAATTTGGATAATCTAAGTTTTCTGATGAAATTTAAGATATAAATAAAACCATAGTTGTAACAGAGTTGAGTAAGAATAAGGACAAGTGAAAACTGTTGGATAACGACCACCTTTAAGTTCTAAATAGTATTTTTCTTCCTCGGTAACTAAGTAACTATAAAATTACTATCAAAAAAAGACTAATAAAACTAGACGCTTGAACAATTCTCATTGAACAAATGTGAACAACGTGTAGACTTGGGATAAACTAGTATCCGTCCAATTTTATGTTTTATAACAAAAAAGAAAACTTGAAGAAATCAACTAGACGTCCAATAAAGGAGTAAAATTAATGATACGAATGTAGAAGATAAAAAAATGTGAACCACAAAGTTGAAAAAAAAGATAAGAAATGGAGATGGTGCGATATAGTGAATTTTTATACAATATATCAACCAGTTTCTACCCATTGGCCTCACGGATTAGTAATATGTCTTGTCTTGGTCATCCAGCTATTTAACATCCGGATCACACTTTATAACATTTACAGACAGTGATTAGGTATATGTAATACATATTTTAACTGCATAAGTCTTTGAAGGTGTATCGTTTCATCAAGTTAGTTATCATCCTTTACATTTCGAAAGCTAACAATAGTATGAGTTAATATGTTGTTAGGCTATATTAAATTAATGCTTTCAAGATGCTAATCACAAAATACTTACGATTCACATCTGTCTTTACTTCGAGTGGTCATATTTTGCATTCATAAACTAACATAACACTGATTCCTGAATGATATGCTTGTCTTTTACTTGGTAGATGAAAACTTCGCTTAAAACAAGAGTGGTATAATTTAACAGAGACGAAAGGTTTTGTGTGTTTGTGTCAAGATATTCCCATTCACGGGTGAAATATGGCTAATTAGGCTTCCATGATAACTTTAGCGGTAGATAGAGCTAACTACTTCACTTATTATTATTGATCACACCAAGTATTAAGTTATATCAGTTCTGAAGCAATAGTTTGAATTTAAAAGAGGAAAAGATTTATCCAAAGCACTTTTAAAGGCTACAATCTGTCAGTAGGTCTCTGATATCACACATCACAGTGCTTATCCGTCCAAGCTTTTCACTAAATAGATATTCGGAAAAAAGTTAGCATGGATTGATGGGGAATTTCTGAGAAAAATATGTATAAATCAATAAGCAAAAGAAACAATTTATATACGCATATCACTTACATTTGGTTAATGAACGTCCTAACGTGACTCCATGATCTTCATTCTAATTAATGTAGCATAAAAGATGAAAGAAACAGTTAGTAGATAGTTTTATAAATTATTTTTTATAGTTTATTTCTTGTTATTCATTGCTGTATTTTTTTAATGGTCATTCTGTTCATTTTATTACAGATAAAATGTTTTACTAGCTTTCATTTTGCTTCTATTGAAATCAATCCATTTTGGAAAGTTGACTTATTATTCAATTACTAAATTATTGTAATCTATGAGATACTAGAAAACTGAACAAAACTTAATGACAAAAATACAAATGAAGCTTAAAATCCTAGATTACTGTTATCATGGGAATTAAAGAGTAATTTTATTCCGTTACCAGTGATTTCCAAGTTTGCAACCTTCTGGAAAGGATACTGATAATAAGAGTAATAATTTAAATACATGACCAGACTATTGAAATATATAAATAAACCGACTTTTTGTAGATTTTTTTTCTTTTAAGACAAAGATTAGATAGAAGTAATATGGGGTGTTTTTTGCAGTTGCTTAGAATTTTTAGGAATAATTGTAAACATGTATATTATACTAATTCAGAATAAATAGTATCACAATAATTGTATTTCGTGTTATTTAGTTTATGGCAAATAGATCAATTCTCACTAAATAACCAAATATATAGATTTTCAGTCGTATGCTTTACGTGAAATAGAAGCTTATAGAGGTATATTGATAAATACAAGTGTTTTTTCTTATTTAATCCAATACTTGATAGTTAAGATGTACTTCTAAATGTTTAATTACATAACTAATTATGTTTTTTTTCTAGATGAATTTTGAACAAACAATAGCCTCTATATAATATATATTTCAAAGGTGATTTTAGTATGTTATGTTAGTATGTTATGTTAGTTGATTAACATTGAAGTAGTGATTGTGAATGATTATCTGGCTACAATGCAGTATTATATATTTTTTCTACAAAGACTCAATTTCAGCTTCAACAACTCAAAAAGTTCCGTCTAAAATAAGCACATTACCGAATGATATAAAAAATGACAGTATATATATAGACCAATATGACTGATATGAAACAATGAAAAGTGTAGACATCAAAACCAACTAATTTATTGTTTCTGATGTTTATCAAAAACAAACATTAGGTAAATGTTGACAGGAAAAATACCCCAATCAACATTAAATGCTTGATTACAAGATTTATTCAACGGTAAGATTAATGATTGTAGTATTACCAAATAGCCAAACAGGTTTAAAAATCACATTAAAACATTAAACAAAGCTTCAATCAACAGATCAATAAATAGAATAAATGACAAAATGGTTAAATTAAAGCAATCCATATCTATCAAAGAAGACTGATTTAAATTCAGTCCTGAATATAAAACACAAAAGTGACTGCAACAAAAAGGAACTTTGTGCTAAGTGTAAATAATTTTTTAAAGATATTGTTTCAAGCTTTTCTTTGTTGAATATCACTTGACCCCTTCACTTCCCTAGACTCGATGCAAATCATAATACGAATAAATGGAAACAGAATAAGTTCCAATAAGCCGGGACAACAAAGGCACAATACTAAAAACACTTCAGTGTATACAGAATTAATGTTAGGACTTCTAGGATATTCTACATTACCACACTAGTGCTTATTGGTTAAAAAAGAGACCAATCAGGATAATCATGGAACATAAAATTAAGATTTGATCCTGCTAACGCATTCAGTTTATTTGTACAAGATCCACATAAAAATAACGGATGATATAGGATAGGAATCAAACGATGTTGTGAATTCAACTATACAAATTATCGAAAATTATTGTCGAACAATGGGAAACATCATAATATGATTATCATTATGTTAAGAAGAGGTTTGATGATAAAAAAGACCATTGAAAATATGTTGAAAAACATCACCAAGCATAAATTAGTACTTTTTAATTATCAACCGAAATTATATAGCCTAATAAAAGTCAAGCGAAGACTATATGAATTAGGTGAGAAAACAATAAAATAACTTTCTTCTTTTAAGAACAGATGGATTGTAACTAGCAGTGAAATCTAGGACGCATGTTTCGTACTTTTTCGAACTTGCCAGCTGAATGTACCTGCATCCAGTTGTTGATGATTACACTGAATTCGAATCCAGTACTTTTGGTTTCGCAGGGCGTAACAGGTTATTCACTGACCGATTGAGTTCAGGTAGCCACTACCTAGTTTAACGAGTATTAATTTAATTTGTAAACCTTTCACCTTCACCTTGTTAACGTTCTTAACTGAATTTTGATCGATCCTTGTTGAAGAATGTTCATTTTGATAAAACTCAGTGAAGAATATCAACAACTGGGTAATTCAAAGCCTTACTACTAACGATAGAGATGAAAGTCTTGTTTAACATTATAAAAGATTTAAATGTCAGTAAATTTAATTACTCTCACTAAAATATAGATAAATAAACATGAAACTGTTACATAAAAAAGTCATCCTACCAAAAGATCCTTCGCATATCGTATTGCAGCCTTCCACGATTTATAATCGATGGCTGGGATTTGTACTAAATGAACACTCAACTTTCCAGCAGTCTCACATTCAATCTAAGGTTATCAAAAAGTGTGAATGAAAACTAAATCAAATAAAGTAAGGATGAGTATTAATTCACATTCAATATAAGTCCAAATAATGCATGCCAGAATAAGTGAACCATTATACGAGTTTACATAATTAGGTGACAGCATGGTAGATCCATGTTTATTAAGTCAACTAGATCATGTACTGCTAATGAGTGGATACTGATTCTTATTTACATAAATGTACAAATAAAAACCAACTGCCTCTAGATAAAATCTGCCTCATTGTTTTTCCTTGAATCAGTGAATATTAACATTGAGTTGTCAGTAAACAGGGACAGATTTTATCACAATTATCCACTATTCCAAAAGATCAGCATAAAGCTGTTGTTTCGCAACATAATCTTTACTCAAGTTCTGATTTAGATCTACGTATGGGAAATTTTAAGTAAATACAAGAGATCTACACAATTAAAAGATTTCATTCCTTTTATCAGTAGTCCGATTGATACGTGTTGATAGCATACGTAGCATTTATGTGAACAAAACCAGTCGGTAGACTACAACGACAGTTCGAATAATCAATTAGGTTCAGCATGGTGACCAATAAATTTTGACCTAATGACCAAATGACGTCGTACTCGTGTAATGAACGGGAACTCAGGTGGGGACAACCAATTTATTGTTCAATACAAAATTACAGAGTTCTTTCGTAAAATGTGAAAACTATACACTAAGTACTTCATTTACAAATCTTCCATCAGTTTCTCTTACATCCCTTCATGATTCTTCCATTTGTCAATTCCTTAATGTTTCCCTTTCTGTTTTCTCCAGTCCAATCTCTTCAACCTTTTTTTGACAGGCATTTATATGATCGGTGTCACATACTATTCATGTCTGTCAACATAAGTGCGAACACCATACTCGTAGTGGTACCCAAACATTACAGGTTACATTTTACATAAAAATGGTTATTGATCACTTTTGATAAGTTGCGAGCAAATACCAAACTGATGTCCTTTACTGCTGAAAAACTTGTACGAATCTGCATAAAATGCAAATCTAAATAATTTTAAAATTCTTACACGAACTAAGTGATGACCTGAGAGCCACTTCAGTATTCTTCAAGGGAGATGAAGAACAAGAAATGATACTCAAACTGATTCAGTGGATACTAAGGACAGCAAAACTTTAATACAGGTGAGTAGTAAAACAAAGATATTCACAACTTACTACTAGTAATATTTATTACTTGAGCATTCTTGACACCATTTGGTAAACAGAATCAAATAAAGTATTTATTAGACTTAGAAGCTAATGACTAAAAGCTTAACTTCTAAAAACTATTTAGCCATGGCTGCAGATAAAGAGGATAATTCTGACAGTCATTAAAATGTAATACGAAAGGTAAGTTGGAGAGAACAGAATAAAAAAGAAAACGTTAAGATGTCATTTATTTGCTTACCAACCACAATCTAGTTGGGTTTTTTTAAATACTTATGGTCCGAACAGAGTAAGAGATTAATTTACTACATTCGAGTGAGAAGTATGTAGAAAACATAAAACAGAGACAAACAAATCAACAATTACGATCTGATTTTCATGTCATACAGCAGATCTATCGAAACCCCATTGAGTCTCACAACAAAGTCATTTCGATAAAAAATTTTGATTGTTTCAGAAAGGAATGCATTTTACATTAGAATAAAATAAAGCGAATGCATTCTATCTTATTTGCTCACGGTTTTTCACATTTTCAAATAGAATAATCCTTGAAAGTAACATCCCCAAATTAACCCTACATTATCTCAAACCAGCTTTTTATTAAAACAGAATGTTACGAAGAATCAATCATATATCTATCTCTCTCTCTCTCTCTCTCTCTCTCTATATATATATATATATATATATATATATATATATATGATTGATTGTTTCATAACCAACGAAACCAAATTATAAAAACAAAATTACAGCATTGTAATTTTTACTAACTTTAAGCACATTCTTTCTTGATGTTTGTTCACCGCTGGCCTCGCTAACTTTTACTTCTCTGATGTTGAATTGAACATCAGGTTTACCAAGTGGTTGATGTATTTTCTAATATTTTTGTAAACAAATAAATAAATATTATAAGAATCACTACAAAAGTTGATTGCCTTCCTAATTGTTTAGTCAATTTTGATGATTAGGTTTTAAGTAAAAATGATAGAAAATTATTTTTTTCGTGTTCAACAGCAAAATGTAGACCTAATGTACTATATATTTCAACCAAAGTCGATTAGTCCTTGAGCTACTACGTCCAAATATAAACAATAGCCTGTACAATAAGTATCCATTTAACTTATAAGTATTTGTGACTACCATTTGTTTGATGTTAGGAACTACAATTGATCAATCTCTTTGGGCATATATACACCCTGTGCAGATTGCCTAAATATTGCCATTCAGTTATAAAAGTTTTGGTTAAATTAATCCAATACAGAATGAGCAAAAAAGTATGAACAAGACATAATACTTATATCATCGTACGTAAAAAAAAAATCAAAATGATATGCGAAGATCATGAATTATATATCTATCAACAGATTATAAACTCTTGGAATTATATATATATATATATATATATATCGCTATAACTGTTTCAGAATCATTGGGAATGAGACATGAGTTGGTCTCATACACTCAATCATAAAGGTCTCTGAAGTGTGGTGGGTTGGTTCAGTTAAAGGTGCAGCTGACGGAAGTTTAATTCCAAATAAGGACGATAAGCCAATGTATGAAGTGGTAGACATATGTTAAATGACGTTACTAACACCAGGCTACACTTCATTTTGTGAGATGTGATACTGACCCTGGGTACAAAAGGAATAGTGACCAGATCAATAAATGGTACTATCCCATTATTTTATTGATTGTTGGCCTGAGTCATATATATCAATGAAGACTTCCTGGATAGTGTCCTCATGATTATTAGGACCATTATTATATCGGATATTTTTATACAACACTGTCAATTCATTTAATGTAATTCATTGAGTTGGAACTTTCATTCTACAAAAGTTAATTGAGGTCATTCAGTCTTCTTTGGTTTATTAGTCTTGGATATTTCACTAGTCTGGTTCCCAAATAAAAGCACAACTTGGAAAGAAATATAAATATATTCCAAAGCAAACAGTAAGCTAGGTTAATAAGGCAAGAGAATATCAATATAAATTTTACACATGAAAATTCAACAATCTTCTCAATTTATCCACAAACACAGACTTTTGAAAATGGACTATTTAGTGTGCTCAAACATGAATGTACTTTGATCAAATATTCATTCTGCTCACAAATGGTTAATCGTACTACATCGAAAATATTCATAAAGGAAGATAACCATGATTATTTAGCTCATAACATATGATTTTATTATCAGTTTTCTATACAAAAAATATACTAAGCTATTACATAATATTGTTATAACATTCTAGAAAAAAATATTTTGCAAAATCAATAAACTGTAAGAATGAAAATTGACATTTATTGAAAATTAACTCGGAAATATTTATTTAAACACATAAATATTGGTACAAAGGGACACCAGATACATATGCGCCACACAAATCTCTCGGAAATAACTTTAGCATCATTTGAAAATTCACTTACAGGCAAAGAAGGCTTATTATCTTTGTATAAAAAAAGTAATGGACCACTGAGATGTAATACACCTGGTATCCATTTTTTCGACACACGTTTATCATTTTCGATTAACATTGTACGAATAACTGCACCACGTCGTTCAAAGTGCTAAAATTTACAACAAAAATCAGTTTTTTTCTCAAATTGTTGAATATAATTTAACAAGACCAATTAAACATGCAACATCAATCATTCATTAGCAAAAAACAAGTTTTGTGTATCTGAAGAAAAAAACAAGATTGACAAAACGTGTAATACTCTAAATAAAGATATGCATTTGTAACCAGTACTTAGAGATTTTTTGATTTTCCCGACTAACTTGGTATTTAATATACATATTAGTAAATGTTGTGACTTGTTCAGGTGTCAGTAAAATACTTTTCACTACTGTTAACTAGAAGCTAATTTGGTTGATATAAGCACATGTAATTTATTCATTATTTATTTATTTAAACACAAACATTAGTACAGAGGAGTACTAAAATAAATATATGCACCACAATTACTATTTATGTGTGGGCTAGGATACTCAGTCATCTACAGCGTAGGACTAGACACATACATGCATCCGTCTAGGTTGCCACACTTCATTAGCACAACAAGACCAACACCAAATTCGTAAAAGCGATTACTTCAATGTTAGTAACATTTAAAACAAAGATTGTGAAGAATGATACAATACAGGAAGAAAGAAGTAGTTGGTAGGAAGAAGGGTATAAAGCAGTTTTAATCTCACAATTTGAGGGAAGACAAAAAGTGCATACACCTACGCCATTGTGATCTATTCTGAGCCATGTCACACAGAGTCTCCAACCATTGGTTACGATAGTCACGCGGACCACAACCAGGTAGTCTGCATCTGCCAATATGGCTCAGACTAGAAGTTAGTCACTTCAAACACTGATGACACCTTTTGGTTTGGCCGCCCCTAACTCTCTTCCAACCATCCCCAATACTAGTCAGCGTTGCGCGTCGTGGTAATCGGTGTTCAAGCATACGTAACACGTGGCCCAACCATCTCAGTCGATGAAGATTCATCACCTCATCAACTGATTTACCATCATTTCCTAATACCATGTGTTTAACCTTATTATTACTTACCCGGTGATCCCAGCAGATGCGAACAATATTTCTAAGACATCTGTGGTCGAATACTAGTAACCTACGAGTATCTTCTACTCTTAATGGCCATGTTTCACAGCCGTAAAGTAGGACAGAGCGAACTGCTGAACAGTATACTCGTCCCTTAATTGATAGACGGATATTTCGTCTTCGTCATAGATGACGTAAGGTGGCAAAATCCAAACGAGCTTTTCAAACCCGTATAGACATTTTGTCAAACACCAACCCGTTAGGGCTGATCAGACTTCCAACAAAAGTGAAGTTGTCGACGCGTTCAGATATTACAACCATCGACAGTACATTGTTTAGAAGCTTACATAAAACGTGTATTCTTCAACATAGTTTCATTTGCATTTATCCACTATTTCTGACTAATTATTAGCTATTTTTGCAGCTAGTTTATACTAAAATCCAGAAATACATAAAGTATATTTGTCAACAAACTATAGTGATCATTAAGAGATAAAATATAAATGACAATTACATCCTGATTACTGGCTACACGTATCACAATTTGAAAGTAAGTAATTAGTATGATTTCAGAAAATCAACACAAAGATGAACATATAGCTAGAAAAATTTTTGTATACCGTAAGCTTATTTTCACTTGGTCCACTGATATATTCTTTGCTTAGATTCTTTGTCTGAAAACGTCCACCTGCTCCTTGATCTTGATCATCAAGACTGACTAAACTGAAAGGTCGATTGATAACTTGTGTTGAACAAACTTCAGAGGGTATATGTGAACTTCTATGAGACTGTAAAACAAAAGACATTTGCATATAGTTACTAGTTTTAATCTCAATGTTTAGAACGAGACGCAAGTATAGATTTAAAGTCATGTGTTTTTACATTTTCAACAACTTATATGTACCTTTGAGTATACAGGATCATTGATAAAGCTGACAAAGTAAATAATTTCAGTGACCACTAATCAAAAGTTTGAAATCTCAACTGTAAACTAAACACTAAAACAACTTAACCCCTGATTTTAATATACTTAAACAAAAATAACAATTGATTTGTAATAAACAGTTTATTCTCTTTTATTTTTATAAATAATAAAAGACGCTTTCGTAAGTAGCATGAAATTTAAAGCAATGTGCACTTCCTGACTGAATCATTAATTTTTGCAGAGTTCATTCTGAGCAACTCGGGTAGAATGCTTTAACTTTATGAGGGCAATAAATGAAAATTAGATAAGGTGAATATTTCCTACCGAAATTATTGATGCCTTTACATGATTACCTGAATACTTCAATCAAATAGTCGTAGCTTTACTACAAGCGAAATTCACAGACCTTTGTACAAATATGAGAATGACTGATGAATTAATGTTTTCGAAGATTTTTTATCGGGTTAATCAATACTTGCATACGATATGATTATACAAAATGGGAAAACATGAATGACCAATGAGAGCATACTAACCATAAAGGTACCATACTCTATCCCTATGACAGGAGCAAAGTAACTAAAAATAATGGCACTATTAAAATATTTTTTAAAAATTCACTGGGTACATATAATGAGTAGAATAATCTTATAAAACGATAATTGTGTTTCAAGCACTCATATTTCAGTCACAAGATAATTGTGAACTAGGAACATCAAATAACTCATTGCAACTGACTGAAAAAGTAGCAACAGATGTTGAATCATTTTAAAAAAAGAGTACTAATGCATGAATAAAAAGTGGAACTCAATTCATACAAAAATTGAACTACGAACTAATTCATACCGCTTTAGACTGACTCATTGTTCTCCGATTAACTTTACTGATACTTGACATTCTAGATACAGATGGATATTGATCAACATAAGAACAATTGTTTTCATCTTCAAATACCGAACAGTTGAGTCCTTCCTTAGAAGGATTTAGTCCATTAATATCTAAATAATTATTCAATGAGTCGGACAAGTGTGGAGCTTCTGTAACTGATGTTTCTAAATCTTCAAGTGCCCATACAGAATGACGAGTGTTTAATTCATAATAATATGTTTTTCCATATTGATCAGTTGCTGGAACCCACTGAAAATTTCAATAGGAAAGTGGACAAGAAGAAAACTTTAAACTTAAGTTTTAAGCAAACAATACTTGTCTACTTCTACAACTAGTCATCATAAAATTGTCGCATCCCGACGTTACTTGTGTTAACTATCAAGTATGTATGAGAAAATTTATTCGTTCGTTTTAATAAGTTTTTTTTAAAACAAATTTGCAGAAATGTTTATTTATCACAACTACAAATTAATTGACAGGAAACATTTAAAATTAATCATAAAACGGGGTTAATGTAAAGCTCGTTTATTGCTTTAACATTTGCCATAAACATACGTGAAGTTTCTATCATTTCAAAGTATACTGGATTTCTTAAAAACGTTTTGCTAAAATTCTAACATGGTATTTAAGTGAAACAGAAAAAAAACTAAGATCTTATTCACTTATCCATATATCTGATTTAAAGCTAACACGCAATACTGACAACTTTCATTCTAAGTGGGAAATTTAAGTAAGCAGTACCAAATTTATCTGTTCTTAAAAAAAAGAACTGTAGAGGGAACTAAAAAGCAACATGGGATTCGTTATTATCATGAAACAAATAACAAACCGTATGTTATGATGAGTATTGAAACAGCTCTCTGAAAAATCTCAAGTAACCTGTTCAACATAAAAACTCTTATCAATTTCATACAAGAAGGTAAACAGTCAACTGTCTCTAGACTACACTTCTTATCACTATCCAAATATAATCGAAGATGATAAGACTGTGAAATTACTAATTCATAAGAGATGTTATGTACTTCGAAATAAAAAAAGCAATCAATATTCAAAAATGTTCAAATTAAGATGATGGTAATGAAATTCCCCACATAAAAAACACACTAAACAATATTTGTTTATTGAAAACTATAACCATTATTTACTGATTAAGTACCCTTTCACTGAAAAGTAACATTTTAGTTTGTTGGTCTAAGCTGTTAAATTTACAGTAAACACATTACTGAGATATTTTGCCAATATAAAATTAGGAGAAAAAGTGGGTACAAACAATTGTCAATCAACAATTTCCAATTGATTATTTAAGAATAATGACTATCACAATTAACCTATAACTTTTATTTCATTTAAGCTACTAATGGTATATGATCATAGAGTAAATAAAATGAGCGGAAAAACAAATGTAAAAAGACATGAATTTCCAGTTTTTATAAAAATTAAAAACAATCATCGTTATTATCATTAATCTTAAACTGACTTTTTCATTAGTTGCTTCGTTAATGTACATCTCTTGACCATTGTTTATACAATGACGCCAACGAACTCCATTCCCCTGATTATTTGATAAGATCTCGGAAGGTGAAATATTCTGATAAAAATAAATACAAAATAAAAAATTCAAGTCTATAAAACGACTACAATAGAATCTTCATTAATAATTTTAAAAAAATTTATACTTATAACATATTTGCTTCATTGAAGACTAATTTCGTTATAGTTACAGTTAGACTTTGTACATATATCTTTGGAATCGGAGAAAAAGCAATGCAGTTGAACTGTTTGTTTTTGAAAGAAACAAAATAGGAAAAAATCAATGCTCCGTATATCTATCTATCTATCCACCTATCTAACGAATAAGTGTACAACTTTATTCTGACCAAATAATAATTATTTAAAGTCAATTTTATTTAAACTACAATTACTTTGTTAGTGATACACAGTTAAGGTTATTTATTTTTTATTTATTTATTTAAACACATATATATTGGTACAAAAGGGCACCAGGTACATATGCGCCACACAAAACAATGAAAGTAGGAAGAGAAGGGATGAAAAGATAAGGCGGACTAAAATGTACAACCAGAAGACTCTTTCAAACATGAAAGTAAGAACCATACTTTATGTAGAAAGTAAAAGAAGGTTGCAGCAGGATTGCCACTGGCTTCGATTCTGAGCCATATCTGATAACGTCTCTAGCCACTGTGTTGCACCATCTCTCGGACCCCAACCAAGGAGTCGTGAAGGACCAACAGAAGCTAGCCCTTTGCAGCTTTCTTTCATGCCACGACACCATGTCATACACTGACCTCCTCTCCGCTTTTTCCAACCAGTCCCAGGGTCGGCAAATAATGCACGACGTGGAAGTCTCTGGGACGACATTCGTAAAACATGTCCAAGCCACCGAAGTCGGTGTTTCAAGATGGTGACACCAATTGAATTATCGTCTCTGTGCCCGAACACACGATGCCGAACCTCTGCATTACTAACATGGTGTTGCCACTGGATGTCAGCAATCCTTCGGAGACAACGATGATCGAACACAGAGAGACGTCTAACATCCTCAACTCGGAGAGGCCAGGTTTCACAAACATACAGCAAAACTGCTCTCACCGACGCCTTGTAAATCCGACTTTTTACAGCCAGACTAACATCACGAAGGCGCCAAAGATGGCCCAGATTGGCATAAGCCGATCTGGCTTTCCTTATACGTGCATCAACCTCATCACTCACGCCACCACCAGCACTTATATAGCTACCTAGATACACGAACTTCTCAACTACTTCGATCTGCTCACCATCCAGGGTGAGTACAGGATTAGAATCCTGCCAGTCTTGTAGAAGTACTTTGCACTTGGAGGGTGCAAAGCACATGCCATACCTGCGGACACTGATTGCCAACTGATTAAGTGCTGATTGCATGCCTTGGGCATTATCGCACAGTAAGACAATATCATCCGCATACTCAAGGTCGAGAAGTCGTTCTCCAGGCAACATATCCACACCGCCATTACTTACATCCATCAGAGCTGTTTCCAAGATGTCGTCGATGGCAAAGTTGAAGAGGAATGGTGAGATCGGGCAACCCTGTCTAACCCACTGCTCGAATGGAACAAGGGAGAAAGGTGGTTGTATGCCCTCACTCTGCCTGAGGTGTTCGTATACAGGGCCTTTAAGATGTTAATGAACTTCTCAGGCACACCCTTCCACAATAGACAATCCCAGAGAACAGTCCTGTCCAACGAATCGAAGGCCGCCCTGATATCAAGAAACACTACGATTGTTGGCCTGCGATAAGTATGACGGTGTTCTAACATTTGGCGGAGGGTGAAGATGTGATCAATGCATCCTCGACCAGAACGAAAACCAGCCTGCTCCTCGCGAGTCAATCGTTCTCGGGTTTTAAACAACCTACGAAGAATGATAGAAGCCAATAGTTTGGACGCAATCGGAAGTAGACTTATCCCCCGATAGTTATTGCAGGAACAACGTGAACCCTTTATAAAGATAGGGACGACTATTGACTCATTCCATGATGTTGGAACACTTTCTTGCTCCCAAACCTTTCCAAACAACACAGTCAATTCCTTAGTCAGAAAGTCACCACCATCTTTAAAAAGAGCCGGAGGTAAGTCATCTGGGCCAGGTGATTTGTAGCGCTTCAAGAGTTGGAGTTCCTTGCGGACTTCCGCCTCGTTTGGTGGATCAGTCGTCACCGGCCATGGGGGGCAGGACAAACTGGTTAATGTTGCCGGAGCAGCAGGCCAGTTGAACTGCCCTTCGAAAAATTCCGCCCATCGTCCAAGACGTCGGGAGATGTTAGTGATTGGCATCCCATCATCCTTGTAGATTGTTTCACTTACACCAGACTTCTTGCTGCCAGTGGCTCGGATGAGTTGGAAGAGCTTCCGGCAGTTACCAGATGCAGCTGCTGCTTCCATCTCATTAGCACGCTCCGACCACCAGGCTTCCCGGTCCTTACGCAAGCTTTGCCCAATTTCATTACGTAACAGCCTTCGTTTGTGGTCAAACTCACGGTCACCCGGAGTAGACCGACGGGCTTCCATCAGTTGTAAGGAGCCAGAAGAAACCCAGTGCTTGTAAGCGGGACGTTTCGCAAAGCCGCAAGCGGCTTTACTCGCCATTTTCATGGCGTCGTGAAGATGCAACCAATGCTCATCTATACTTTTCGGTGGGGTGTTAGCTAGCCTAGAGGCTAGCTCCGCTCGGTACTTACTTGCAACAGGAGTTGCAGCCAGTTTACTAATATCAATCCGTTGGTGGTGGTCAATCCTTCGGCCACTGAAAAGTAAGGTGAGATTGGCGCAGATCAGGGCATGATCAGACTCCAGATAGGTACTCCAAAAGGAGCGGCAGTCTTGTACACAACCACGCCAGCGGTAGCTCATCGCGATGTGATCAATCTGAGTCCAGGCTTGGGATGCAGAGGGAGGACGCCAGGTGGCACACCGGCGATGACTGTGCCGGAAGTTAGTACTGGCCAGAAACAGGTTGTGGTCTGTGCACAGTTGCAGCAAACGGTCCCCGTTATCTGTCCTGCGACCAACAAGTCCCCATCGGCCACCTAAACGACTCTCTTCTGTGCCTAGACGCCCGACCTGTGCATTCAAGTCTCCGGCTAGTACTACAATATCTGTCGAACGCGCTTTCTGGAGAAGAACTGTTAACTGATGGTAAAACTCATCCTTGATTGCATCCGGGCTGCAATCTGTCGGGGCATAGGCGGAGATGACGAAAAGACACCGTTTCTCACGCCGATTTCTTCTCACTTTGATGGAACTTTCTAATCTAACAGCACATAACCGACTGTTAATGGGGAACCAATCGATTAGTGCTGCCTCAGCCCTAGCGCATAGTGCGACACCAACGCCAGTAAGACCAGACGAAGATGCCACAGAGTCCCCGGATAAGCGCACGTGGAACAAGCTTTTCGAGGAGACAGATGGAGAGCGGATTTGTAGTACTTCACTAGAGTCTTGAATACGGGTCTCGGATAGACAGCAAACATCAACATTAAGACCTTCCAAAGACATAGCCAGCCCTATCTGTTGTCTGATCTGCATTAGTGTGCGAACGTTGAAGGAAGCCAGCTTGAACGGCGTACGTGGTTTCAGAAAGACTGCCTCAGTATTCATTATCGGTGGAAGCATTCACTTTCAACCAGACAGTGACTGGAGATCGTTTAGATAGGACAGATTTTCCACCAAGAGCGAGCTGCTGCATAAGTTGAAGAGTAAGGTTACACAAATTGGGGGTAAAAGGGGGTGAATTAGCGATATGGTATGTAATAATAATAATAATAATAATAATAATAATAATAATAATAATAATAATAATAATAATAATAATGTTAATTGTCTTGCTTATAATATGAGCAGGAATAGAATCGTCAATAGAGTTCGTCATTTCATTCATTTGTGTGTGGGCTGTGATACTGCCCGGGTGCCCAAACCGAAGCAGGTGGTTTTCTTAGGGGGCCACACCCGGAGCCTTTGACCTAAAGGTCTGATCCACAAGGCAGTGGAGCATCGTGAGGAGATGCAGTCCCATGGTAGTCGTTGACCAATGACAGGTTCTTCCGCCATTCGTTCCATCAGGAAACTGGAGCCCATGTGCACCATTAGTTTGGAATCAGGGTTTTCCAACTCCCCTAGGTGGACCCTCCGTGTCCACCAATCCGGTTATAGCGCCGGACATTCGCTTTTCGTCCTCTCACTTTCGTAAACAACACCCCCGCCACGAGAAGGCAGTGAGTAGGACTTCCCTGGCAGAGGCTATATATTCGCTGGCCATATGAGAGCATTTCGAGAGGGAGAATAGACTCTCCCCACTCTCGGCCGTACCAGGGCATTTGGGGGCAAAAGGTTAAGGTTATTCGTAAATCAACACTGGATACAATCAAAAAACCTTGAAAGTATAAACAGAATATCAGAATTTTGGAACAGATTTATTTGTTTGGTGGTGCATAGACAAAATACATTAACTATGAAATATTTCACTGGACATAAACAGGTTTACAATACTTTATGGATATATATATATATATATATATATATATATATATATATCTGTTATAGATTCATTTTTTATGATGAGATACTGTCCAACCACTGAAAATCTAATTTAGTCAATACCATATAACACAACTCTTAGTAACAAGCAATCCAAAATCCGGTAATCACTTTAAAGTCAGATTCTAACTTTCATAAAATTTTAACAGTACAAAAATCTACCCCAATACCCAAAAAACATCTACACAAATGTACTACTTCATGTTTTAAAACATTGTAGGGAAATATAAAACTGAGGAAAAACGAAAAAAATAATTAAACAAACGACAACATAAAAGATACCTATGCCCTTTTAGTAAGTGAAATCATGGGTCAATTGAAGCTAGATCACCATCGAAAACCTGGAAGCACTGGACGGCCGTTTCGTCCTATTATGGGACACCTCAGTAACTATGAAAATACTAAATTCTCCACAAAACCCCCTCTGATCTATAATCATATGCTCACTAGTGACTGACTTCGAAAGATATTTCCTTGAGTTCTAGTGGGAAGCAGTGGCCAGTAGAGTTCTACCAAGTCTGTTGTAGAGATATCAGCTCACTGAAGACAATTGGTGAACGGTCGCTCAAAATCGTGGATTGGTTGAAGTTAGACATTAACACCGTTGGATGCCGCCTCAGTGGTCTGTCGGTTAAGGGCTTCGGCTCGAGACTGGTAGGTCCTGGGTTCGAATCTCGCGGGTGCGGGATCGTGGATGCGCACTGCTGAGGAGTCTCATAATAGGACGAAACGGTCGTCCAGTGCTTCCAGGTTTTCTAAAGTTTGTCAGAACATCGGAGACCCTACCAACATCACTGAAACTCCATGGAATTTATTTTTAAGACCAACCTATTTGGTCACTACCTCCTCTTTGTAATAGAAAAACAGTGTCGTACAAGATGTTGTCACATATCAATGGGGCCAGAAAAACGAATTTACCCTGTTAACTGAAATTATGGGTTATTTTGACTATATCACTGATTAAATGAACTTACTGACGAACTAAAATTCCAACGAAGAAATGTTTTACTTGAAGTACCTCGAATGAAGTGATCAAGACCAATAATTATGTCAAAGCACTAAACATGACCAACGAGTGGATGTGATGACTGTTAACAGAGACAGTTTAAATCTCAACAAGCTAACGAATATAATGCTACGTATGCATTTTTAATATGAAACAGTACGATAGTGAGACAACATAAAGTTTCTAGTAATTAAGAGAGAGAGAGAGGAAAGAAACTTACTTCCATAGGACTATCCTTACTACGTTCAACTGAACATTGTGAACCATCAGAAGATCGCGTGCACCGAGAATCTTGATATGATGAAGCTTACATGTTAAATAGAGAAGATAAACATAATCATTATTGAATACATTTGATATATTGTCTGGCGATAAAACCACAACTTATCTAATGGGGATAAAACTAAGTTAGTTTCATGAATTTTGAGACTATGCTAGAGGGAATTATTTTAGTGAAAATTTTCAAATGTCTCATTCATCGTTCAAAATAGAAGTAAATTACTTACTAATAAGTCTACAATTTTAGATTTCTGAAATAGGCATTTTACTCCTAACAGTAAAACCTAACTTATATGTTTGTTATCTTATGAAATAATTCCAATCAACATAATTAATATGTATAGTTGAATATGAAGTTCAGGATGCTAAATTAAAATCGTTCCCATTCCATATTTTCATAAGCTTGAATAGTAATGACACTTCTACGTTTATAAGGGTGAACTTAGTTTCTGTCTTCAAAACTGTTTTTAACCTTGTTGCAATCGCAATACTTTGTTAATAGATGGTGTCTGCTCAATATTTTTTACTTATTTTTCACTAGATAAATTATTTGAACACTTCTTCGACTTTCTAACTGTCTATTGTTTTTCTTCGCCAATACTACAGTTGAAATATTTCTAAAGTACATTACAATTCGATTATCTTCTGTTTACATCACAAGTGAATATCGTCAGTTATAATTAAACATTTAGAATGCTTGAAAAATCAAAACTACACGAGAAATAAGATTGTTTGCAACATTTTAGTAAGATAAACCTTAGAACACAGTGATAGTTATGTTCAAATATAATGGTATTTTAGTAACTTCAGACTAATCTCAGCTCTCAAACAATATTAATCCTTGGAATAAACATAAAGCATACACTATAGCTAGTCATTAGATATTGAACGTCAAAATGGCATTTCTATATTTGAATCTTGATCATTTTAGGTTAGTGGTAATGAAAAGTGGTTTCTGATTGAGAAGAGTTAGTAGATTTCGAAAATACAGATGACATATATTTACTATAGCACAAAAGATAGATTTTTATTTCCAATGAAGAAATAACAGCTGACTTTGTTACTTTGGAAGCTTAAAAAAGTGGGTTAACCAATAAACATTTGTTAATAAAATGTAACTTCTAATTTAATATTAATCAGATGAATTAAATTAAAAGTATTTTACTTACCTACGTTTTTTTCATTCACTTCCATAACTTTCACATCATCTTCATATAATGATGAAGCACATCTTCCATAAGAATTTTCGTCAGTATCATAAGTGGCTTGTTCAATATTTGGATTTGAGACGGGATCCTACGTTAAACATAACAATAAAACTTAGACGTTCAGCTTTAATCCCAATAGAATGATATCCCATTGACAAAAAGACATTCAGTAAAAAATTAGAAACATTTTAAAGAGATTTATTCACATACACCCTAGACATGTCATGAAAGTGATAGAGTAAAGCAAACTTCGTATTCGTATAAAATGATTATGATTGAAAGGACCTTAAAAGTATCAGCAAACTAGTGTACTCTATCCTACATAGAAACATTCAATTAACTGGACTAAGTGAAAAGTTGTGACTCTTAACAATTAGCAACAAGGTATGAAAACGCAATTAGAGATCATTGCGCAGGGTTCATGCTGACCTTTTAAGCATCTTGATATCCCGATGAGCAGGAAATTGTATTTCTGACGCTTTGTGACTTGATTCAAGTCACTTCTTAGGAATATCACAAAAATACATTTTTGATTAACTTTCTACCCAGTGCTCAATTTAAAACTATTTGAAACTATTAAGTACAACTGCGGCAATGATATCGAAGATAACGATTTTTAAACAATTCAAGCTTAAATTAACGGTAGAATTTATTACAATAAAACAGTAGTTTAGGTTCTCAAACTATGACCACTGAGTTACAGGTTTCAGCTGCCTCCTACATACCAAGGCAGGTTGGCAGAGTTGTTAACTTTCTCATAATAGTTACGGCTTGCAATTTAGTGGACGAAACTGAAAATAACTAAAGATTTTTATTTTCATGATAACATAGATACAAGACGGTAGATGATCGATTCGATTCGGCCAATCAACCATTACCATAATCCGTAACAAACAGTGCTTTTAATTTGCATTACTAACATAACTTAATATCTTAGTTCCTGGAATCAATTAATCGCTAAAGCACGCAAAAGCTACAAATTACCACAAGGAACTATACTCCTTTTATAGAAAAATACTGTGAAGAAAAAATTACCTGGATGATTGTGCATGATTTCGACAACTGACCCGACATTAAACTGCAAAAAAGTTACGCATGAGTAGGTAAAAATAGGCATTAAGATAATAAATTTCAATGGCTTAAAAAATTTGGAGTATTATGTGACAAATTTGAGATCCAATGAAAGAAAAGTACGATCTGCTTTCAGAACCACTTTTGACAGCATGTGATTACTGGTCAAGACCCAATAACACACCACATCAATAGTCTTCTTACGGATGCACTGCAACCAGTTGTCCAAAATTTGCGTCCTATCGTAACAATAAATGACCGTTATATGAGTCAATAGTAACGATGTTTTATGTACCATCTAGATAAATGGTTAGCTTAGTTAGCTATTCAAGTAAACATACATTTTTAAACGAAAATGCTTTAAGATTCTTTGAAATTATGAATAAAACCCATGACTATATTTATCGATGACTTTATACATAGTGTTAGTCAATATATAAAAGTACGGCGAGATAAAGTGGTGGTTTAATAACTGTGACAAGGATTAAATTATTATTATTATCATTATTATTATATAGAGAAGGCTACAACATTATTGTCTTAAACTATTGGCAGAAATTTCCAAACTAAAATCTGTTCGTGGATCAGTTGAAGTTAACACCGTTGGATGCCAGTTCAGTGGTCTATCGGTTAAGGGCTTCGGCTTGAGACTGGTAGGTCCTGGGTTCGAACCTCGCGAGAGCGGGTTCGTGGATGTGCACTGTTGAGGAGTGCCATAATAGGACAAAACGGCCGTCCAGTGCTTCCAGGTTTTCGATGGTGGTCTAGCTTCAATTGACTAATGATTTCAACTTCGAATAAAATGTGTTAGTTAATAATGAAATAATCATATTACCAAGCTTAGCTTAATAGGTTTTCTTTAGGGATTTCGAGATCAGTTTATTCAAGATCTCAGAAGCCGTATATTCTATAAGCTCAACGTGCCTAAAAAGAGGTTTCTTTTGAGCTATCGCTGGGGCAGCTTACAATATATGCACAACGAAAACACTTTCCAAACGTGTCTCAGAATATTACACGGTATAGCTCTTAGATGGGTAATGCAAAGCTATCACTAGCTCAATACGTGAGCACCTGAATAACTTCAAAGGAGTCGACCTTTGATCTATACAGTCAAAAGAATTGGATCAATTGGAGGCCAAATCAAAAACCTGTGAACTTCTGAGGCGTTGGCGATCCACCAATTCAGTCCTAAACTTTGTGTGCAAAGACGATACGTCTAACCTCTTGCCCTTCTATGGAGATAATGACATATTTGTGATACTTAGTAAGGGAAATTGGATTTCTGACGTTTTATGACTTGAGGAAAGACGCTTCTTCGTAATAAATTAAATCAACCAATAATTTAAACCTATATGTTAGTGTTTAACTATACGAGATATGACGAATGTAGTAGCTTTGTTATGGTCCATCTTAATCTATGTCACTTGGTGTCCTTAGCTAAAGATAACAATTGTCGCACAAATTGTAATCGGGAAATCAGCAACTCTGTATACGACTCTCACCAGTAGTCAATGACTTCACGCAGTCACACCATATCTTGCATTTGGCTATATTCATCATTCAGTAGGTTATAACAAAGTGTTCTGAGTTTCTCAGTAGTAATTCAGTCGAACTAATTGGTAAAGAATATACTCAGATGAAGTACAGGTTTATTGCCTTGGTTTCAAAACGTTCAAACCACTACACGGCTTCTATAACTGAGGAGCTTGAAAACTTTGGATATACCTCAAAATGGCTTACATTTGGCCATTTAAACCATTAAAGATAGAGTTCGTACTTACCTAGACTACGTTTGTAGTTTTGCCACTACAGTATCACGTATTAAATAGTTTAGTCATTTGTCGTTCGCTTGAGTGGACCAGCATCGTTAAGGATCCTGAGACATAAAGTCTAATTTAAAGCTAAGTACATGAATCTATGCCTATCTATTAATATGAGTTCATAATTATATAGTCATTAACCAACACATGCTTTATTTTGCAAGTTTTGAGACTGCGAAAAAAGTATATTCGGTACTAATGGGATTAATTATTAGGGCTTTATGGTAAACTACAGGATAGATTTTTAAAACTACCCATTGAAGGACCAAAGGTAGACTGGAAAAATCTGAAAAATGAATTGTCAGAAAATTCCTTCGAAAAGGAACTAGCTGACGGGTTTATCACATGTACCCTAGTGCAACATCTGAAAGAAGCGACTCTGTACGATCCGGACTCTGAGTCATCCTTACTAGGTCTTATATTGACCCATTATTAGGATGATGTCACAAACTTCGATTACATGCCAGCCTTAGGTAAAAGCGATCATGCAGATCTAGTCTTTGACTTCCACAAAGCTGTCAATAACGAGCGAGCGTCAACCCAACCCAGACCTAAAGTCTGGAAAGCAAATATGGGAGATATTATACACTCAGCATTCTCAGTAGGTCGGACAATAGAGCCAGAGTCCCAAATCGAAACACACTGGGATATATTTCGAAATGTGTACTAAAAAGCTACTGCACCTCACATCCCTTGAACTACATCAAGGGGCCCGAATAACTCTCTACCATGATTCAGTAGGAGGGCTCGCACTCTACCCCGTAAGAGAAGAATACGGGAGAGATTTAGGTTATTGGGTACCGACGAGACAAATTCTCAATATCCAGAAGCAATCAGTCAGCTACAACTTAGGACCAGGCACATATATGCATCGGTTCAAGTTGCCATACCTCGTTAGCACAACAAGACCAACACCGGATTCATAGTATTTAATTTAGTGTTGGTAGCAGTATATAAATTATAGGTTGTATATAAAAATATAGTACAGGAAAAAAAAAAGTTATGAAGCAATTTGAATCTCAAAGTTTAAGGGAAGATAAAGAGTGTATACACCTACGCCATTGTGATCTATTCTGAGCCATGTCACACAGAGTCTCCAACCATTGGTTACGATAGTCACGCGGACCACAACCAGGTAGTCTGCATCTGCCAATATGGCTCAGACTAGAAGTTAGTCACTTCAAACACTGATGACACCTTTTGGTTTGGCCGCCCCTAACTCTCTTCCAACCATCCCCAATACTAGTCAGCGTTGCGCGTCGTGGTAATCGGTGTTCAAGCATACGTAACACGTGGCCCAACCATCTCAGTCGATGAAGATTCATCACCTCATCAACTGATTTACCATCATTTCCTAATACCATGTGTTTAACCTTATTATTACTTACCCGGTGATCCCAGCAGATGCGAACAATATTTCTAAGACATCTGTGGTCGAATACTAGTAACCTACGAGTATCTTCTACTCTTAATGGCCATGTTTCACAGCCGTAAAGTAGGACAGAGCGAACTGCTGAACAGTATACTCGTCCCTTAATTGATAGACGGATATTTCGTCTTCGTCATAGATGACGTAAGGTGGCAAAATCCAAACGAGCTTTTCAAACCCGTATAGACATTTTGTCAAACACCAACCCGTTAGGGCTGATCAGACTTCCAACAAAAGTGAAGTTGTCGACGCGTTCAGATATTACAACCATCGACAGTACATTGTTTAGAAGCTTACATAAAACGTGTATTCTTCAACATAGTTTCATTTGCATTTATCCACTATTTCTGACTAATTATTAGCTAGCCTGATTTTCTCATGCTGGCTCGGAATACTCGTGCGTCGACCCTCCGTAAGTCAAGAAGGTTGCATGAAGAAAAAATTAGGGAATCTATAGAATGCCCTAAACGCTTATATTCGTAAGTAAACCAAAAGACTAAAAGAGAGAAAATATTCCAGCACTATATAGCAATGGAAATGAGGAGATACAACTTGGCAGTACTCGGAATCAGCGGAACCCATTGGACACAAACTGGACAACAAAGGCTAGGTACAGGAGAGATGCTGCTGTACTCCGGTCACGAAGGGGAAAATGCGCCACACCCTCAGGGAGTTGCTCTAATGCTGTCCAGAGAAGCACGAAATGCACTTGTGGGATGGGAATCTCATGGACCCAGGATAATCAAAGCATCATTCAGAACAAAGAAGCAAGGGATCACAATGAATGTTACCCAATGTTATGCACCCACCAATGATAGCAACGACGATGATAAATATCAGTTTTACAATAGGCTGCAATCAATTATGGAGAAGTGCTCACGAAAGGACCTCACCATCCTTATGGGAGATCTAAATGCTAAAGTTGGAGTGGACAACACAGGATATGAAGATGTAATTGGACGACATGGACTAGGAGAGAGAAATGAAAATGGGGAGAGACTTGCAAACCTATGTGCTTTCAACAAATTGGTTATAGGCGGCACAATATTCCCACACAAACGCATACACACAGCTACATGGATCTCACCGGACCACACCACAGAGAACCAGATTGATCACATCTGTATCAACAAAAAATTCCGAAGATCAATGGAAGATGTGAGAACCCGGAGAGGAGCTGACATAGCTTCAGATCACCACCTGGTTGTGGCCAAGATGAGACTGAAGCTAAAGAAAGACTGGACAACTGGACAAACAGCACTACAAAGGTTTAATACAGCCTTCCTTCGAGATACTGACAAACTCCATGAATTCAAGATAACTCTCAACAACAGGTTCCAAGCTCTACAGGATCTACTGAAAGAACAAGAAACTACTTTGGAGGACAACTGGAAAGGGATAAAAGAAGCACTAACTTCAACGTATCAGGAGGTTCTTGGTCCTAAGAAGCACCATCACAAGGAATGGATCTCTATGGGGACCCTGGACAAACTTCAAGAAAGGAAGAACAAGAAACTAGCAATTAACAACAGCCGAACACGAGCAGAGAAAGTCAAAGCACAAGCAGACTACGCAGAAGCAAACAGAGAAGTGAAGAAAAGCATTAAAGCCGACAAGCAGAAATACATGGGAGAACTAGCAACGGCGGCGGAAAAAGCTGCAAGAGAATGGAATATGAAACAACTATATGATACAACGAAGAAATTGGCAGGGAGATATAGCAAACCAGAGAGACCAGTCAAAGACAAAGAAGGAAAGACAATCACTGAGATTCAGGAACAGAGGAAAAGATGAGCAGAATACTTTGAGGAACTGCTGAATAGACCAGCCCCATCGAATCCACCGAACATCGAAGCAGCCCACACTGACCTTCCAATAGATGTCACTCCACCAACGATCGAAGAAGTCAAGATGGCCATCAGACAAATCAAAAGTGGGAAGGCGGCAGGACCTGACAATATACCAGCAGAAGCACTGAAGTCAGACATTGAAATAACTGCAAACATGCTTCACCTTCTATTCAAAAAGATTTGGGAAGAGGAACAAGTGCCAACGGACTGGAAAGAAGGATATCTCATCAAGATACCAAAGAAAGGAGATCTGAGCCAATGTGAGAACTACAGAGGCATCAGTTTGTTATCAGTACCAGGAAAAGTTTTCAACAGAGTGCTGCTGAATCGGATGAAAGACGCAGTAGACGCCGAACTTAGGGATCATCAGGCTGGATTCCGTAAGGATCGGTCGTGCACAGACCAGATTGCGACACTACGGATCATCGTTGAACAATCAGTTGAGTGGAACTCATCACTATACGTCAACTTCATCGACTATGAGAAGGCGTTTGACAGCGTGGATAGGAGAACATTGTGGAAACTTCTTCGACACTATGGAGTTCCTCAGAAGATCGTCAACATTATCCAAAACTCATACGATGGATTACAGTGCAAAGTGGTGCATGGAGGACAGCTGACAGATGCATTTCCAGTAAGGACCGGAGTCAGACGAGGCTGTCTACTCTCCCCATTTCTCTTCCTTCTAGTGATTGACTGGATTATGACGAATTCGACATCTGAAGGGAAATACGGAATACAATGGACTTCTCAGAATCAATTAGATGATTTGGACTTCGCAGATGACCTAGCCCTCCTCTCTCATACACACGACCAAATGCAGATGAAGACAGCAAATGTAGCAGCAGCCTCCGCATCGATAGGCCTCCACATTCACAAAGGAAAAAGCAAGATTCTCAAATGCAACACGGAGAACACCGACCCAATCACACTTGATGGCGAAACTCTGGAAGAGGTGGAAACATTCAAGTACCTGGGGAGCATCGTTGATAAACAAGGAGGATCGGATGCAGATGTAAAGGCAAGGATTGGCAAAGCAAGGGCAGCATTTCTACAATTGCAGAACATATGGAACTCAAAACAACTATCAACCAATTTCAAGGTCAGAATCTTTAATACGAACGTCAAGACAGTCCTACTGTATGGAGCTGAAACGTGGAGAACTACTACGGCCATCATCAGGAAGGTACAAGTATTTATAAACAGTTGTCTACGCAAAATACTTAACATCCATTGGCCGGATACTATCAGCAATAGCGTTTTATGGGAGAGGACAAACCAGCTTCCAGCTGAAGAGGAAATAAGGAAAAGACGTTGGAAGTGGATCGGACATACATTAAGGAAATCACCAATGTGCATCACGACTCAATCCCTAACTTGGAATCCGGAAGGGAAGCGGAAAAGAGGAAGGCCAAAGAACACACTACGCCGGGAAATAGAAGCCGATATGAAAAGGATGAATAGCAACTGGAAAGAACTGGAAAGTAAGGCTCAGGACAGAGTTGGATGGAGAATGCTGGTGAGCGGCCTATGCTCCTCGACGAGGGGTAACAGGCGTAAGTAAGTAAGTAAGTAATATGGAGATATTAATGCTTCATCATTAGCGGAGGACGACTACGGTAAAGTATTCTCAAAGTACTTTAGCAATGTATATACCGAAGAGACACCCTTCCTGTCAGCTCATACAAACCCGCACATACACACACAATGGACAATGTTACCATTAAAGAACTCGATGTCTTTGATCTGTTAAATAAGCTTGATATAAGAAAATCCATTGGACCCGATGAAATGAAACGCAGGTTAATAAAAAAACTGGCTAATTTCGTAGCGAATCCTTTATGTATATTTTTTACCTTTTCTGTAACCCAGAGTCAGTTACCAAAAGATTGGAAGAACGCCATAGTATCTCCTGTCTTCAAAACAGGTACGAAACATACACCAGAGAACTATCGACCCTTAAGCCTAAGCAGCTTGGTTGCTAAGATGTCATAAAAGATTATTCAGTTGTTTAAGTATTTCGACGAAAACCAAATTCTTTCTGAAAGGCAGCACTACTTTAAAACAGGTTATTCCTGTCTCACAAACTTATTAATAAACCATGAAAGTTGGTACTCCCTTAAAGACTAAAAGTTACCCATAGACGTGGCCTACATTGACTACAGCAAAGTTCCTTACGACAGGCTGTTATGCAAGTTATATCGGGGCTGGAGGCAAAGTATTAACGTGGATGAAAGACTTCCTAGTTGGGCGTCAACAAAGAGTACCGGCGAACTACAAGTTGTCTAACTTGAAAACTGTGCTTAGCGGAATGCCTCAGTGTGCAGTCTCGGAGCCAGTGTTATTCTTTTTGTATGTAAATGACCTTCCTCGTCTCCTATCATCATCGGTCTTGGAATATGCTGACGATATCAATATATGGAGAACGATAAAAGCAAAGGTGATAGTTTAGAGCTTTAAAATGACTCGGAGAAATTATCTGAATGGTCTCAAACTTGGCAGTTGCCGATGAATGTTTCCAAGTGCATTGTGATGAATATTGATCATCAAGGTACAGATATATACACGATGAATAACGTCCAGCTGCCTGTTGTCCAGACACAAAATGATTTAAAAGTCATCGTTAGCCAGTAATTAAAAACTACTGCACACTGCCGAGTAATTGCCGCTAAAGGTTTTGGAAATCCTATTGTCAATACGTAGAGCCTTTAGCCATGTCGATACTAAAACTTTTTTGACTTTGTATACAGTATTTGTGCGTCCTAAACATGAGTACTTCATAAGAGCGACTGGCCTCTGTTTAAAAAAAGGAAGCGAACTTTTGGAAGATGTTCAGAGAATCACAACTAAGCTGATCTCCAGAATAGCGAAGCTCCTGTATGATGATCGACTGGTTAAACTACACCTATTTCCATTGTCGTAAAGAAGAACCAGAGGGGACTTGATTGAAGTTTTCAAATTACTTAGTGATAATTTTGCATCTGACGCCCTCATTTTTCTTGTCTTCCGAAATAGAGACTTCACGAGGACACTCCGAAAAAGTTCACAAGCCCACGACAAATTACTTGTCAGCTGACTATTGTCTTATCAACGAATTGAATTCATCACCCCAACACGTGATTGAAGCTCCACCTATCAATAGATGTAGTAGAAAGTACGATCAGCTGAGAGGCCATCATTGGCAGGACTAACACAGGCCACCTAGCTCCCTGTCCTTTTCAAGCTGAAACTGGAACCGAAGTGCAGAAAGACAGGCAAATGCGATATGAGGGGTCAAGCACAGAAGCGACATGGCGAGAACTATTGGATAGCTTGGTGGTGGTCTTTTATTTTACCAATGGTTTTGCACGAACACAACAAATCAGACACAGAAAGAAAATCAGTCAGAGTAATACTATAGTTTGATTACAACTATTTGCAAAAATATTGAGTGGGAGGCGAAGAAAAGATAACAGGTGAGTTGACTTATCATTGAAAATTCACATTTGTCTGCTCTGATCACTACAAAGCTGTCACTGGATTTATTATCGTCCACATCACAAGCACCAAATTTACTATTTTTGACATTAGGCTTCAACTTAAGAGCATCTAATTGGATACTAAAAATGTAATTCATAAACACACACAAGAAGCATATTTACTTCATATGCAACGTACCCATTGAACGCTTGCGCTCCCAAGGTCAGTTTTCAATATTCATATTCCTGGTGGCTACATACTCAGCCAAAGTCTTCGCTATGTTTTTTGGAAGATATAAACCGAATGAGATTATGATCTTCAATAAATCAGTAAAATAGTGATTCTAAAACACAATGACATTTATGCTAACTTCATTGTGAGCGCGTTATTTAAAAAAGTGGTATTTTTCCTCGTTGGGTTTGTAGTGACCTGCTTTTCATGACGAGAACGCGATTGGTATAATGGAAACAATTATTATGACCAATCTTACCGATTGTTTTACCGTTCTTGTTTGTTTAACTGTATCAAATGCTCCTTTTGTTCCGCGAACTCTTACGCTCTGCCATTTTGCCCGTACTCATTGGCACGTCTCATTATTCTTTCGATACCACGAGATCGCCAATAAATATATCTTATCTGGACCAATAACAGCCTTCTGGTTTCCGGCTTATCGAAGGATCCAAGTCGTCATCCGGCGCGTGATCTTATTGTAGTGGTGATTATTGTCAATCGCTACTCCACGCCATCTACAGGTTAAATTTGTTGTTTCGGTCGCAAATTACACATCAAAACTATTGTTTCCACTTTATTTGAATTTATTCAGTAAAGGTAATCTCGTACCTGTGTGTAATGTCTTTGCTTTTGTGTATTTATTGCACCAAAGCATATTTGGTTGGTTGGTTTGAAATTTTCTCCCAAATCCATTATGGTATTATCATTTTAGTTGCTTTTTTAAGGTGATCTACTCGCCTTACAAATGTGGACAGCCATGTTGCTTATTCCTTATGGAGGAAGGAATGCAATGTGATGGATGTAAGAATTGCTTCCATAAGGTATGTACTCGCTTTAATCCCACGTGCTCAAAGCCTTACTCCAATTGACCTTGTACATTTTCTTATTCGATTAGTCTTTTTGCGTTGGCTAACAGTAAGGTTGATGAGGGCTGTACCTGTAACATGGATACTGATAACGAAGACTGCGTCAGTGTCGCAAGTGCTGTTACGGCACATACCATACAACCAACTGTGTAACATACACCAGGGATTTTTACCTCGGAACACTTAATTAGTGAAACACCATTGGATACTGGTGGCCAAGGTGCTACAGCAGCGACTGATGACCCGGCCAAAACCGTTATCATTCCGAGTACTTCAGAAGTGGATGTTGCAACTGGTGGAAAATGAATGACGCAGCGACATAGAGGAGAAGGTCAGCACCCGTTCAGCTGAAAAGTCCTTGGTGGACTCACATTCTGTGTCGCAGATCACTCCACCAAAGTCAAAAATCAAGACAACATTTAACTCTGTCGTAGTTGGAAAACGTTTGACCTAATCTAACATTGTTGCGAGTTATTCACTCCACCCCAACGATTATGTTACAAGAAAACCCATCGGCAAGCTCATAGCAGTAAACAGTGAACACGACTTACAAAGACGTTAAATTCGTTCCTAACCTAACCATTCAGAATCTACATTAGTCGAATGACCATGACCGTGCTTCAAGGCATGCACTTGATTTGGAATTAACGGAATTTGCCATCAGAAATGTACTGCTTGAAGATATTTCATAAGTGCATATCACGATAGTAACAAGACTCGGTAAACGATTTGGAGGCGAAACGCAACCGAGGAGGATCTTGAAGTTCTTACTCTGGAATTTTGGTGAAAGAGATGTAATTCAAATATTCGTATTTGACCAGATTGGCCGCTTCAAGCTTGAACAAAGTAGAAGAATGCTCTGACAGAGTTAAAAACTCAGAATCTAAAGGACGAAATGAACCTTACGATTAAGGGTTTTCGGGTGGTCAGGTCTTGGAAACCAATGCTTCCGAGACCTGTATAGGTAAAACAAACGATTCCCAAAACACCTCAAGTGTGTGACACACGAACGCCCGTAGTCTTCGAAATAAAACTTCTGAGTTACGTTTGACGGTGGTTTATTGAGTCTTGATAAAATTGTTGTCACAGAAATTTGGCTAACTGTAGATATAGACTGTTCTTCCATAATTGAAGGCCATATCTTCATCAAATATGATAGTGATACAAGTCGCAAGGGAGAAGTCATAATGTGACATGTTCGACATCACTTTTTTGTACACTTGATCATATCGAGGGTGCATGTTAGCGGTACATGTGATTAAGCTTAGACACTGATTAGTGACTATAGGAGGAATATACCGTAGTCCTTGTCGTCTTGTTGATGATTCTTTTTTAAGACATCTGTTTTTGGAGCAAAGCCAGATGTTGTGTTATCATTGGATATTTTAACGCACCACATAGAGCTCACATCTTCAGGCGTGGGTTTCGATAACGACCTGTTATCAACAATTGTTCAGTGTGCACTTGTACAATGCATAGGAAAATGGACACATATTGGTTTGGAACATGATCTGTCATTGCTGAACCTTATCCTCATACACCACTGTGACGATGTCATTGACGTTCAGCACCTTCTCCCACCAACGAATAGCGATCACGGAGTACTTTACTTCAGGTTTCGGGCTCCACTCTATACCAATATCTGGAGAGCTAATAATCTGGCAACCAACGACTTTGCCTCTGTCAATTGAGTACGAATATAAAAAATCCGGTATATATGTTAAAAGACCATAGCTAAATCCCGTGCCACTTTCGAACAACAGTTGGCATATGATAGCCGTTCGTGCCCCAAACTTTATCAAACTTTTAGCGGAGTCTACCCTGCGTGTTATTCAATTATTTTCTTATTGATCAAATAAAGACCACGTTTTTATTTGTAACCACACTTTTGTTCAATATCTATCACTTCTCTGTACCGTTTACAAAGCAGACATAATGGTTTCGGTTTTTCTACATATGCCTCATTTGTTATTCAGATAAACGCTATCTTCGACGTCTACTCTTCAACCTTATTGGCCACTACCTGTTGTTGAAGATCAAAAATGGTTTAAGACGTTCTGAATAGAAAAGAAAGGACCTGAGCTTAACGGGCTTCCTTATCTCATAACAGTGGATTCTTGATACCCACAGGTAGAAAACTAGGCATATTTAACGATAAAAGAGAAAAAATATTGGTAAATTATGGCGACATGCTGTCCTTAGTTCTTACTAGTATGTCACGCTTTCTCCTAAAAGATTCCTGTAAATTCTCTTAGATTAACTCAGACGTCAGCGAATTAGAGAGTTTGACTACTCTTAAGTAGTAAGGAGTGTACCTAAAATCCGTTCTGCTACGTCGTATCTCCAGTTCCTGGGTGCTAATCTCAGGGTTTGTGTTAGGACTGGACTTATGTGAATGTTTAAGGCAATGTCTGGAAGCTCTTCAGGATTCTGTAAGTCATCCTTGAGACGTCTTTACTCTATTGGGAAAAGGCTCTGTGTAAAGACACTCTCCATATGGCTTAAATTCGAGTCTTCAAATTGATTTCGTGGTTGGACGTTGGATAGGTTCTAATGTATCCTTATTCTTGTGGAGTGATGAAGGAAACACTATCTTCATACTGCTGAAGATCGATTATGATGTTTTACTGTCAAACTGGCAAAAAGTGCTCTTCAACGTTACCAGCACAAGGTTTGCTTGGAAGCAACTTTTGTCACAGTTAGTGTAGGAATCCAGATAATGGTGTCACAACATCCTTTTAAGTCATCATCCACAAGTTAAGAACCGCTATTTTAGACAAATCCTCGCTTGAGAACTTTGATTCTGCCCGTTTCTCAATTTGGTCGTTTGGACGCTTCGAGAGACCTAACAGTCGTTTTGATTTCCTCAAAAAGCAACGCTTCTGTTTGTAGTGTTAACGATTTTCGGTATATCACTAGTAATTGTGCTCACTGTTATCTTTTTGGATAATTCTCTCACTAGTATCTATCACTCTTTGTTTCCATTACCAAGTACGTGTTAAGGAACATAACACGTGTTGTCGTCTACACTGATAAATGATAACTTTTTTAGAGTCATTTATTGACAGGACCACATTATTCTTCATAAGTATCAAGTCCTTTTATTATTATTTTTTTACTACAAGTAGACAGATAACTCACTAATCTCATGGATATTGATCAACTAAGGCCGATCAAAAGAAGCTCAAACGTCCTAAATTCTTTTGAGTTGCTCAATGTTTTATTTTCCTAACCCTGAAAATTTTACAATCTACTCTTTCATATACTCTTGTATGTTATTAGTCCTTACCATCTCTTAACCACATATAATCTGACATGTCTCTTATAACTTTTACCATTGGTTATCTTCATAGCACTATGATATATTTAATGGATGTTTAACCCATAATACAAATGCTTTTACCATCTGTTTTGCTTGTGATATGGAACTAGTAGAGACAGTTTACTCCAACTATGGGCCTTGACTAATGCAGTATTCATATTGACCACAAACGTAAGAGAGCCTAACATCATAAAGAGAGGGAGGGTGGCGTTACTGACCAGTAAACATGATGGTGGAGAGATAACTGCAATCCAACAGTGTCTGTAGGGCAGAACATGCTGATTATGGATCCTTTTGTCAAGTGGAATGTCACGAACCGACAGTTTCGATGTGAACTTATTCATGCGAAATACCTCTTTAAATTGCGTTTAAAACGGTGAATTGGTTCCACTTTCTACCGAGTAACCCATTTACAAGCAAACTGGACAGTTCGCTAAAAACGAAGCCTACTCCACACCCTATAAAATCTAAAGATAAAAAAGGGTTCACAATAGCTTTGAAAAAGAAGGGAGACAGCCACTTGTGTATCAGAATGCTGTTTTCAACACTATATTTTATAGCTACACACAATTTCATACTTTCAGCTTTTTTCTGAACTACCTTCATTTATACAGTTCCTTATCCACTCATGCCTTGATGACATTCATTTCATTTAACACATTAGTACGCTCTTGCCTAACAGGTACTTCAGTAACAGAAAAATAGACTAACTGGTTATACCTTATTTATTCCCACATGAATATCGTGTGCTCTGCTTTTCGTCCTTCCTTTTTCTTACACTTTTTTCAGCCCCTTGGATATACTCCGCCGAAAAAA